GAATATATATATATATATATATATATATATATATATCATCCTGCAGCACGCTATCAGAGTTCCTCTGAAACCCTCCACCTGTCTAGACCTGCTAAGGCATTTATAGCCACATTTCCATGTTTCCAATCCAGTCGCGTTTCCACTGTCACTTCCAGGGCTTGATTGTGCCTCATCGGGGCTTCCTCTGGGCCAACGGCCAAAGTTTTTTGGCCCGCCGAAAACCTTGGGCCAAAGCGGGCCAGCTCGGGCTTGAGGAGTAGTTATGAACAAAGGCAGAGTTTCTCTGCGTCTGCATCAGCATCAGCGCCGGAGATTATTTCATATAGTTAACAGCTATAACACCAGTATTAAAGACTTTTAATATAATTTTAGCTCAAAACTCACTTTCCGACAGCAGCGAGTGTTTGGAATAACTTCTGTTTGAGATCCGATGTGGATTATCATGATCACCATACAAGGCAGAGATATTTATAAGTGATGCAAAGTACTATGCACGCTAGCCATTACCATTGTAAATATGGTAAATACGATCGCTCGAAGAAATCAGACAAATCATATAGGCTATCAGTCAGTAAGTCCCGTCTCTTTATACCTGACTGTCTGTTGTTCATATTTAGCTCCACGTATGTCATAAAATATATCATAATCATAGTTTTTGTTCGGGAGCTCCCTCTGCTACTCAGGTCGTATTTTTGATGGAAAATTATAGAAATGCTCATTCTTTCTAACTGTGATGTATAAGTTACTGTGACTACAAATAAACAGAAACAGACGTAACTGAATAAGTATGTGTCCTCTTTCTTTTGTGAAATAAAGGTAAATACCACTTTATTTCTGTGTGACCAATTTTCAATCCTGACAAATTAATTAATTATGATCAATGTATCACTTATTATTGTAAAACTGGTAAAACATCGATGCTTTTGGATTTAAATCTTTGTAAACAACAAAACATACAAACAAACTTCCGCTTTTATCATATTCGTTTTGTGATCGCGCTAGTTCCAGTGATTTATTTCTGAGTAGTTTTCTGATAACTTCTCTTTGTTGGTGAAATGATGGGGTTGTGTGACGTTGTTCCAAAGAAGCGTGTAAAGGGCAGAATTTATTGAAGTGCAGCGGAGCTTCTGGCCTGACGGTGGAAACGCAGCATGATTTTGGGCTCGGTGCTACAGGTCTGAGGCTATTAGCCCTGCCCGGCCTGTTGATAGCACTGGCTCGCACTGGCCCGACAGTGGAAAGGTGGCTTATGTTTGCTTATTCATGCAGCAGCAAGCATATCTTACAAGCTCACAGGAATGTGTGTGTGTACAGTATCTATTGGCAGTTGCAATTCCATAATTGCTTGGCAACGGCAATGTGCATAGCAGATCTAGTCCACCAAGACCAACTACATTAATAATGGCATGTCCACAAACATGCTGAGATGCTGAGACTATTCTAAGAGTTGCTATGATTGAAAGATACAATTTTCTATATTATCTACACAAGATGCTGAGCAGTATGATTTTATTTCATATTTTTGAATGGCACAAATGTAGTAACTGCAGAATAAGCCTTACAGGGTTGCTGTTGTACAGCGGGTCACAGAACTTCTCAAGGGTGTACAGGTACTTCACATTGTCTTTGGCCTCATTTGCTGCATCAGTGATTCTGATGTCTAGTTCTCGCCAAACCTGGGGAGACACATAGTTTAGGGGCTGAAAATTAGACCTCTAACTGACTGGTAAAACAGCTCAATCAAGGACATTACTGAACTGAAAATGAAAAAAAAGTCATTGTGAAAAAAGAAGGAATATTTAGCTCATCGTTTAAAAAAAATTCAATTATACAACAAATGTACCTTCACATTTATGTGGCAAGATAAATGCCCCAGCTATTGTCTCATTCTCCAAACAGCTAATAATGATATATAAATATAAACCATCAACTAACCTTAATCAGTTTGGACTGTTTTGAACCCCCCGCACAGCTTTGACCTCAGGGCTCTTCAACTGGTCCAGCAGGTAGTTAAAACGGGACATGCGTTTCTTCCAGTGATCAAGCTCTGCACAGGGGCCCAGGTCATCTGCCTCTTTCCTTAGCTGGTCACTCTCTGCAAGGACCTTCAGAGCACAAGACAGGGTGGTTAAAAAGTCAATACAACATATTAAAGACATCTGCAAAGAAGTTACAATTTTGAGAAAAATCTAACGTTATTTACAAGCACACCATCTCATATTATAGATTCTACACGACAAAGTAACGCATTTGAAACCTGTTCGATCTGTTTGATCCAAGTTTTCATGCAGGCTTCAATCTTCTCCAGAGCTTCTGTGCTATTGGCCACAGCAGTGTAATCTGAAGGACCTTTCAATGTCTTCAAGTCAAATGTTTCACATTCTTTGAGGTTTACCTGAAATATCAAACCGTTTTCACAGATGTTACTTTGGGTCAGAGATATTTTAGCATCTTGGATATTACATTAAAGATTTAGTCTAAATACAAATTTACAGTACAGATACATACAGTACAGTAAATACAGTAATCAGGTTTTATTGTTTATTACAAACAAGTAATTAAATAAACTAACTACACTATACCAAAGAAGTAAATGGAAAGAGGCACTTTAATGTTTTTGTAAGAGTGCTTTTTACTAGGAATATAGTAGTTTATTATTTAAGCTGTAAAGTTGTCTAAATCATCCATTTTGAGGTACGACTAATTTATAATTTCTGGTAACCTTGCAGATATCATGCAATGAGTTTATCTGCTTTACAAGGTCATGACACTGAAATTCAAAGCTAAGTAACTATAACTCTAAATAAAGGCACACAAATCTCACGGTATAATATATAATATTTGAAAGAATGTGCTTTTTTTGGGGAGGGGGGAACTAAAACCCAAAACATTTATTTAAAAATGGTCAACCCCCTCCCCGGCACAATCCAAGATCTCATAAATCCAGAAAAAGGATCTTGACGGCTGAAAGCTTGAAAGAAATGAGAAAACTAGCTTTAAATTTCCAATATTTAATCTGCCTGACCAAACCTACCATCCAATTCATTTTTGAGAGACTATGGATCAATATAGCACTAGAATGGAATGTGTGAGTGTGTTTATGTTATTGTAGAAGTGTGCTTCTTTCTTTGTCCTTTTGTATTTGTGAGACCTTTTCCTGCAGGCTCTCCTGTGCCCCAGCTAACACAGAGACAAAGCTGTCCAGAAAGCTAATAAAGTCTTGCTTGACAGCCTGAGCCTGCAGGCTTGCTAGCTCTCCCCAGCCGTGGTTCATCTTCCTCAGAGTGGGGATGAAGATCTCTGACAGCAGCTGCTCCACGCTCTTCAGAAGACCAACACCCGTGGTGTCCAACATGTTAAAGTTCACATCCTATGAGAGAGCAAACAGAGGGGACAGGATGAAAACATACACAAGACACTTCTGTAGTTTTTTTTCAAGACATATAAGGCTCTAACCGAAGCACAATATTACACACAGCAAATGGTCAGTAAAAGAAAAAAAAACAATTTACTAAGACATGGTGGCCCAGATTTACTAACAGCTTGCACCAGGCGCAAACAGTATTTTTGCGTTAAACCAGTACTGTCAGGATTTACTAAGTGAAGAACTAGTTATTTTTGCGCCTGACCTTATTGAATATGCGTTTGTAGGAGTTTCCCTTTCAGACGCAAAATTTATGGGAGGAGAATATTCAAATGAATCAGGCAACACGATTTACTAACGTTTGCGCTTGTCAAATTACTGGTATTTGTGCGCCATTATTTAACGCCCCCCAAAAAAGCATATCTTAAAGCAGACGGTAATTTGCGCTGCTCTTGGTAGATTGCGCTGGTCATTTTGGAAATGATCTGGCTGCGTTTGTGTTCTTTAATGTGTGCATTGTTAGTAAATGACAACTTACTGACAACTGATATTTGTATGTTTTTTTTTGTTGTTTTTTTTTCACAGTCTGCTGTACTGTTATAAAAATAAAATTGATTTACATTACAAGCTCACTTTTTGGCCACATAAATATCAGCAATTGCACCAAACTGCATTATTTTAGCTTGGTCTGCTGAAAAGAGTTTGATTTAAAAGAGTTTATGCTTTCAAAAAGAGTAACAGGAAACCAGCAACATCTACCATATGGAATGTATCAAATAAAAGATATGACCAGGGCAAGAAATATTTACAGAAAAAAAAACAACAACAACATGATCTTGTTATTGACATGGTTAACAGATGGTGAGATTTTCCTGGAAAACCTTAGGGGCAGCTTTTCACACGTCTCTTCATTGCATTTACCCTGTGGATATTCTCTGAAGTGATAGGCTTGGAGGGGTTTGCCCGGGTGAAAAATACACAAATGCCATTGAGGGCCACATCTGTGCCTTCCGTCACAAAGACCTTGGCTTTCTTACTGCGAATCACTGAGGAGGATACGGCTACCAAAGGCACAAAGACAAATTGATCTCATCGCATTTATTGTTTGGGTGCAGTGTAACAGTAATGAGAATCATCATTGGGAATATTGACAATTAAAATTTATTACAAAAAATAGTGAAACATTCAGAGAATTACAGTATTTATCTTATTTTATTTATTATTATTTTTTTAATGATTACTATTTTCACAATATGATTCACAGGCTTTACTTACCTGTGTCCACAGGCTCTGTGTCCTGGTAGTATAAAATGAGGTGAGGAAGGCCATTGGCAGCAAAGAACTGCTCTATCCGCTCAATCTGAAACATCAGTCATACTATTGTTAAATAGCAATATTAACAATTCTCCAATGTTCTCCAAAACCAAATTAAGACTGTTAGAAGTGTGTATATGGAATATTGTTAACCTGTGTGCCCTCCAGTATCGCATCTTCCACTTCAGCTTTCTCCAGGCCCACACAAGAGGACACAATGCTGAGAACATAGTCATGTCTGATGTCCAGCTGTGCTCTCTTGGCCTCACGCTCTTCCTTCAGCTTTTGCTGTGTGATAAGAAGATATGCCCACTTTAGCATCAACATTTGATTATTTTGCTTTGACATGCTTTTATACATGGCTTGTTAATATCAAATAGGATAGGTTTAGCAGGACACTGCACTGCAGGAGTATTTTTAACTTCTTGAATTGTTGAAAAATGAAACACATTCAAACTAAGTGTATTAATGTTTAATACGACATGTATCACATGTTCTATAATAAATGTCGGGGGGGGGGTTCTTATTTCAGAGAAACATTTGATAACCCTGCAACTATAGAAATTAACTAGCAATAAATAAATAAGTAATAATAATTAAAAACAAATACTGTAATACCACCTAATAAATCAGATCATAACAAAAAATTATAAAATTAATGAGATCTACAGTCAATCACTGGAAGAGATGTGTTCCTCTATCACTTTATATTTCCATGATAACCAAACAGAATTTCTTTAAAAATGTTTGGCAATATAGTATTGACAGCTGTATTGCTGACAGTGATCCTTTGTTCTCAAAAATACAAATAATGGATAAAAATTATTTTGAAAATAACTTTCAATCATCTTTTAGAACCTTTAGAAAAATCTTCAGAAAAAAATAATAAGTTTTTTTGTAAAACTATTTTAATATATCCTTTAAAATATTTTATTATTATTATTATTATTATTATTATTATTTATTCATGAGACAGGGATGAACTGAAGGACCCCACCTAATAATTACATCAATAAAATAAGTTACCTCAGTATCCTCATGTACATAAAGTATTAATGTTTCTTGACTCTTTCACAGCTTAGAAGTCTTTCACGTATCAACTTTGTTTTTAAATCTGAGCACAGTCTTAGCATTGCTAAACAGTTTGGTGCATTATTGGAGAAACAGAAAAAAGAAAAAAAAACACCTCAGGAAAAGGCAAGCGAATAAATCAGCATCAGAACACAGAGTCATACATACTTTAAAAGCAGTGATCTGACTGTTCGAGATTATCGATGACTGCACTTCAGGCTTACATCTTCCAGGCTTCTTTTCATGCATGTTATCCATGAGATCTTATGTGTAAAAACTGCCAGACTAGCAAGCTTTATCTTCATCCAAGCAGACAATGAGTATCAGTCCCAACCCACGTAACCAAATAAGTGTACATCCAAGTGCAGAAAAAATCAAGTAAACGTTTTGATTAGATTATCTCCAAGTGAGAAAATCATCGTCGAGACTGGACTACTCTAATCATCTATCCAACTGACCATCGCAGTATCATGTTGTATCCCTACTTTTCTCATGACAGTAAAAGCTGAAATGTTTAAGGGTCCTTGTACAAAATAAAAGAAAGACGACTGAACAAAGACTTAATTGGGTAGAGCAGACTGGGCCCCTCGTCAAAGCAGTGAGAGACAGTAAAAGTTGCTTGGCTGGGGTGCTAGGTAACACTGTAAAAAACAAAAAATGAGCCAATAAACTAAGAACCATTTTGTGGGCCGGATACAGATGCACAAAAAAATAACATGTTTGTTTTTTGGTCTTTCTGAGGATTTGAAGCAATCTTCATTCCAGGGCATTTATTCTGTTCTGATACAATATAGATTTCATTTATACAAAAAAAAAAAAAAACATTGCTATCAAACCAAATACATTTCAATAATCAGAAACCTATGAGCAAGATACTGTAATTAATTTCACATGCTTAAAGCAACTAACCTTATATCCTACCACAGACAGCCAGACAGACAGACAGACAGCCAGACAGCCAGACAGCCAGACAAGACAGACAGACAGACAGACAGACAGATAGATAGATAGATAGATAGATCATGAGTGCTGTTTTTTGTGAATATATTGCAAATTTGTAGATTTTATACAATATGTCGTTCATATATTGTCTGTTTTTCGTCTGTTTCAACAATGAAAATTAACAAAGCAGAGCCATTACACTTCTTTGAGAAACACACAGCCACATTATTGAAATAATTTCAATATTTCGGTTATTGAAAGTCAGTCATAAAGACAGCGCCTGCTCCATTCCTGAATGAAGTAGCCATTTGAACAAATTGGTTTAATTAATGACTTAATGAGTTACTCATTAAGACACTGACATTTCACTTAACCATTTTTTATTTATTTCCAGAATCGACGATTCATATTAAATTGCTTAATTTTAATCCCCACTTCCAAAAATAATAAATAATTTTTAAAAATGGCTGTGTCAGTGTTTATTTCGGGCACATAACATCTAGATAAGAGACAACAGGTCTTGTTGTGGACACTAGTGCTGACACTAGTCAGTGTGGACACTAGTGCTGGATTATCAATATCAATTTCTTGTTGATGAACCAAGATATTTTAGTCTATGCTGTTTCCAGCTGATGCTTGAACAAAACACCACTGAACATTATTTGTAGTGGGCCTGCATATAATAATCACAATAAGCTTTGTGCTTTCTTACTTTTTTATATGAAACAAAGTCTCAGCATTCAAATTCTGTCAATTTTATAAGGAAATTCAAACCATGAACATCGTTTTGACACTCCTTAGCCATTAATAAGCAGCAAATTAGGAGTTCGTTGAGGCAAAAGTGATAGTTAATACTTATAGTTAGTTAATAATGGGAATTGAACCTTATAATAAAGTGTGACCATTAACGGATTATTAAATATATTTTATTTTTAGTGTTGCATGGTTTTCGGCTAAATTAAAACTTTAATTTCAGTCTCTGTGTTTCGGTAAAACATTCATTTCAGTGCACCACTATTACTTATTATTACTATTATTGCTTCTGGGGAAAAAAATAAAAATAAATAAATAAATATAAAAAATAGAAAGAAAAAAAGATTAACTGTTTTTGCAACTATCGGCGCGTTTACACTTGGCAACATCAGCTGACTTCTCGATCTGGATAACCGATCAGATCTGTATTTCCCGCGCAATATTTAAATAAGTCTGCGGTGCAAAGTCGACCTGAAGTGGTGGGTTTTCTTTTGAAAACTATTTTCAGTCGCGGGACATTTTACAAATCAAAATAAATGTACGAGTCTCACTAGCGCTCTGTTCTTCCGACAGATCGGGAGAGAGGGGGTGGCGTTTTGCGTGATGTCGACCTGCGAATGCAGATACGATGGCTGGATTGCGTTTACATTACATTGAGATCTGATCACAATACGTCTTCGACTACCTGTGGACCAGGACACGCTCATCGGATAACATTCCGATCAGAAGCGCGTTTACACTTGTCTTTTCAATGTGTATGTGGACAACATCCGGATACAGGTCGCATGTTAATGCCAAGTGTAAACGCAGCCTATGACTCATTTTATAGGGTACATCGTGTACAGTAGGGATCTTTAATCCTGCAGACTTAAGTTTCAACCCTGTTCCAACACACCTGCCTGTAATTAACACTGAACACCTTGTTAATTCGCTGGTTTAGGTGTATCTGATTTGGAGCTGAACTCTGCAAAAAGGTAGCTCTCCAGGAGAAGGGCTGGAGACCCCTGTTAATCGTACAGTCTGATTGAATAAACTCTTCCCCATGGTCTGGTTTAAAAAAAAAGTTAACACAAATTGCAAGAAATTTCAATATCGAATCACAATATTTATAGAATATTGTACGCAATGCATATCGATTCAGTACCAAGTATTTTGACAGTACTGATTCGGGGGATAAGCATAGTAAAAATGCCCATATTAATCAGTTTAAGTGGGCAAATATTACTCTATATGGAAAAATTAATTTCAGTCACTGCTTTGAACTAACCACCACACAGAATACGAAGAATATGAAAAGCTTCGGGAGTCAGCTGTCAACAACTGGTACCAGCACATAAACACACTTAGCAAAATATTGTCTTATCATTATCAACAAAATGCCAAAAAATATCACACACTCCTAAATAGCAGTTGAACAAATGTTGAATATTTGGTTATATCCTTGGATATATATCAATAATTCAGATCAAAGTAAAGTCTAAAGCACCTCTTTTGCCTTCAAAGTTGTTCATTTACAACATTGTTGAAGAGACTGCAGGTGCGATCGGAGCCCAGGAGACAGATAAATATCTACTAGAAAAGAGATACTGTCCCTGTGCTGTTGTCATCTACCACAACTCTTCAGCTGTAGAGGTGGCAGGTAAGAGCTCAGCTTAGCACTGCATTTTTCATGCATTTTATCCCGGCAGTGGTGAGCTTGCTTTCAACACCAATTCCAAGCCCCCGACACTACCTTTTAGATGTCTCACTTATTGGACACAATCAGCATTTCAGGTCTAGGAGCCATACATATGAAGTCCATAGACTAAGCATTGACAGCTGTTGCTTATTATGTGAAATGTCAGCATGATACGGCCATAATTACATGCAAATTAATTGACAGATGCCGTATGCAACAAATATCATGCCTACGTCAGCATTCTCATATGTGAAAACACATCACTTTTTGTCGTATCAGTTTTTGCAGTCTTTGCATTTCACACAACTGGAGGTCTTGCAGTGTTATTTGTGTTGGTATAATGGCAGCATGATGGCCAGTGATAGAAGGCTCATATAAGTTTAGAGAAAAAAAAAAATGTGTAAAAAATTTACAAAAATATTATCATATTAAATAAAATAAATGTAAAAGTTATAATTTACATATATGTATCATTACATATGTACATGTAACATTTTTTTTTTTAAAGACTGGTCATAAATCAAGAGATTAAACACAATTATTTTATTCTACTTACAGATATTTACTTTTACCATTCACTTTTTTTCTTCGGCAAAAAAAAAAAAAACGTATAGTATTCACACATATTCATATTAATAATATTTTATTTTTTACTCATAATTTTTACTCATAATTGATTGATTTTTTATCAATCAATAAATAAATAATGCAGCATTAGATTGGCAATGAGACAAGAGGATTTTTGTCATTTATGTTAATGGAGGAGAGACTTCAGTATGATGAAAAAAAAGTTTTTGTTAGAAATGAGATAAAAGCTCAACACATAATGAATTAATTTCCAATA